AAAAAAAAAAAAAAAAAAATGAGAACACTTCCTAACTCATTTTGTAAGGCTAGTATTACCCGAATACCAAAACCAGAGATATTAAAAAAACACACACGCACAAACTACAGATACATATCTCTTATGAATGTAGATTCAAAAGCTCTGAGCAAATCAATTTTTTTTTTTTTTAAAGAGACAGGGTCTCACTCTGTGGCCCAGACTGGAGGGCAGTGGTATAATCATAGCTCACTGTAGCTTCAAACTCATGGGCTCAAAGGACCCTCTCACCTCAGCTTCCCAAGTAGCTGGGACCACAGGCATGTGCCACCACGTCTGGCTAGAAACCAAATCTAGTAACATATAAACATGAATTTACACCAAGAAAGATTTATCCTAGGAATGAAAGTTTGGTTCAATATATAAAAACATCCATCAATGTAATATACCATATATATTATAGAATAAAAGACAAAATGTGATAATCTCAATAGACCATTTAACAAAATCTAAAACGCTTTCATTATAAAACATTCAACAAACTAGGAATAGAAGAAAACTTCTTTAAATTGATAAAGGGCATCTACAAAATCACCCACAGCTAACATACTTAGTGGTAAAAGACTGAAATTTTTCTCGCTAAGATCAGGAACAGGACAACTATGTCCCCTTTGCCACTTGTATTCAACATTTTCCTGGAGGTTCTAGCCAGAGCAATTCACAAGAAAAAGAAGTAAAAAGTATCCATATTGAAGAAGAAGAAACAAAGCTATCTTGTATTTGTATAAGACAGAAAGTTCTAAATAACCTGAGAAATACTATTGGACATTATAAATGAGTTTAGCCAGATGGCAGATTATAAGATCAATTTTTAAAAATTAATTGTATTTTTATACACTAACAAGGAACAACCTGAAAATGAAATTAAGAGAGTAATTCCACTTACAACAGCATCAAAAGAATAAAGTATTGAGAGAGATCCAAGATGCCTGATTACTAGCAGCTCAGGATCCTAGCTCCCAGTGAAAGCACAGAGAACGAGAGGACGCCACACTTTCAGGTGAATTTTTGTTGCTCACCGACCAGGAGATTCCCAGCGGAGGAGCCCCATGGGTCACCAGCACGACTCTTGTGGCTGGCGCGGTGATTTTGCCGGTGTCCTGGTGCGGCGGTTCTTGGTGCAGAGTAAACAGGACTGGGTCCCCTTTTGGTCGATGTTTGGAGCTCCGGGAAGGCAGAGTCGCCCATTCAGCTGGTAGAAAAAGGGACTCAAGAGGGAAGCCAGACCGGAGATTCCTGGGCAGAAAAGCACCACGAATTTTAACGCCCCTGTTTTGGCCGGAGGAGTGGGTTGCTCAGATTCCGGTGCTGGGAATCAACAAGTTGGATGTCCACTCAGAAACCTAATTTGAAAGTCGGTAATTACAAAAACGACAGGTGGATAAATTTACAATGATGGGAAGAAACCGGCGTAAAAAGGCTGAGAATACCCAAAATCAGAATGCCACTCCCTCTACAGGGGAATCACAGTTCCTCATCAACAAGGGAACAAGGCCTGGTGGAGAACGAGTGCGTTCCATTAACAGATTTAGGCTTCAGAAGGTGGATAATAAGAAACTTCTGTGAGTTAAAAGAACATGTTCTAGCCCAATGTAAAGAAACTAAGAACCTTGAAAAAAGGTTTGACGAAATCCTAACGAAAATAGACAATCTAGAGAGGAATATAAGTGAACTAATGCAACTGAAGAATACAATACGAGAACTCTGCGAAGTATGCACAGGTTTTAACTGT